AGAACAGCATTTCTCAATCGAGGTGCTGCGGCATCCTGGTAGAGAAAGGCTGTCAGCTGAGCCTGAGTTCCCAATCCCCAGCTGTACATCGGCACTGGGAGCTGTCAGACTGCTGAGAAAAGTGAAAGCAAAGGGAGGACGATTTCTTGTGTCTCTGTCTGCCCCTAAATTGCAGTACCCAGCTGTGTGAGAGAGAGAAGTACATTACGTACTTTAACTTTTTATAGGGCTGTATACATGTATATGTATGTACGTGTCTGTATATGTATGTACACGTGTCTGTGTGTTTGTGTATATTTGTACGTGTGTACATGTGTTTGTATGTACATGTGTGTGTGCTTGTTTTTATGTGTGTATGTGTATTACTTTTAATCTTGACCTCCTATTCCTTTCAAAACTGCTTTTTTAGGAATTGTCCATAACAGCAGGAAGGACGGCTGCTCCTCTGAAAAGCCATCTATGCTCAGATTGTTTTTCAGAGGCATTTGACAGGTGGTAAAGATGTTGCCTCCTCACCACCTGTTTCAGCCTCTTAAATGCAGCATCAACATGCGCACACAGTTTCGGAGTGGTTGCAGTGCAATACCATTCACCTGGAGGTATACTTCCAACTGCGGCCACAGCATGTGTATACCCCCAGATGCTGCTTCTGCAGCTAAAGGGGAGCAGTTGGGGGGTAGTAAAAGCAGCTCAACTGCATGGATTTACCACCCTCCAACCTCACAGGTGAACAAGCCTTTGGTTCACATCTGTGTGGCTGCGTGTCAGGCAGTCCATTCATTTCAAAGGGTTGCCCTACCCGCAGAAATGCAGGGAAAACCATCCCTGACTTTTTTTTTTTTTTTTTCCAACCACACCAAAAATGCACGGCATTTGTCAATGTATGGGGTACCATTAATAATTAATGATACCCCTAAAGAGCAGAGCATTTGTCTGCGTGTCAGGAATGAGCGTGATTTTGCGTGCGTTCCACGACACACAGTAATGTGAACCAACCTTGGACAGGGGTGCCTCGTGACTCAAAATACTTTTCTAGGGCAACCTGACTGGAAAAAGGTTGAGAAACACTGCAGTAGAAAATCATAATTCATAAACAGGGACGTATAGGAACATCCTTGTATTCTAAAATGTTGGAATAATTGTCCACTTTGGGGGTCTCTCAGGCATGCTATCCTGCATATGACAAACAAGATGTATGGAATTATAGTATGAAGTTAAACAGGTTATAAATAATGTACATGAAGCAACAACTGTTTGTGGGCTTTTTGAAGAGACATATTATAAAAAATAATACAGATAACCATTCTTCTGACCTCAGAGTACTGGCCTAGAGTAACTGAAATTTTCTGCATTTCCAGTGTCTGAGAGTTATTCCTGCCACCTAGTCTCTCATTACTGGGCACAAGTTTAATGCTGTTCATTTGCACTATGCCGCCTCCTAGTGGTCATATGTAGAAAAAGCAAGGCCTCCATTGTGGACAGCACACAATTTGTAAACCAACAAATAAATGGGTTATAGAAAGCAACACCATTGCTTATTTTTAATCATTTTTTTTTATTGTCAAAGCAATATCTTTTTATGACCTATAAAAATCCTACAAATGCAAGCTTTAGTAGCTCTAGGGCTCCTTTCCTCATGCATATTAACCATTTCATGTCCAGACACTTTCACCCCCTTCCTGTCCAGGCCAATTTTCAGCTTTCAGCGCTATCACACTTTGAAATGACAATTGCGCGGTCATGCAACACTGTACCCATATGAATTTTTTTGAGACAGATAAAGCTTTATTTTGGTGGTATTTATTCACCACAGGGATTTTTATTTTGTTTGCTATGTAAATGAAAAAGTCCCAAAATTTTAAAAAAAAAAAAAGTGTTTTTCTTATAAAATTTTTCAAATAAATAGTATTTCATCATAAATCTTGGCCGAAATGTACTCCATTAACTTTTTAGTAAAAAAAAAAAAAAAAAAAAAAAACACCCAAATTATTTTATAACCAAAATTATAATTTTTTAAACTTTTTTTTACATTTATATTATTGCTTTTTTTTTTTTACATACTGTCACCCTAGCAGTACAGTGTCACCATGGTGACACTGTACTACTTGTGGGGGGTGATGAAGATTTTTTTTTTTTTTTCTTACACGGATTGCTTTTACACCCATAAAGGCTGTAAAAGCAATAATTTCTCCTCTCTGAGAACTACTGGGTGAGCTGTGATTGGTCACAGCTTGTCACATGGTACAAGGCTGTTGTGAACAGCCTTGTACCATGTGACCTCTGTGATCATTCACAGATTTCACACGTAGTAAGCAGTCAGAAGTGACATCTTGCTTACTACTCTTCATGTGATCACTGATTGGCCAATCAGTGATCACATGATCAGGACCTCGCAGAGAGGTCCCGTACGACGATCGGTGTTCCACTGTGTCCGAAGGACACAGCAGCACCGGATTGCGGTGCTGTGTGCTCCCAGGGAGCACGCACAAGCAGGGGGCGGGGAGGCCATTTATAAACGGCCACCCGACCCTGTACTGCCACCGTCCGGCCGTTTATATACAACGGCCGGACGGGAGGTGGTTAACAGATCAATGCTGATATGAAAGCAATTTTAATAATTATAAACGAGCAGGCATCAAAAAGATGTTCATGTTTGTTAGTAATGACACTGACAACAGTCATATGAAAAGTGCAGAAGTCTAACATCAATAGGTCAGTTCAATGCAGTTAAGCTACATACCTAACCTGCAGAGAAGTGGGGTAACTTGGTTGCCTTGAGCAGCAAATTAGGTCAGGATGAATGCAAAAAAAGGGGTGACACAGTCCATAGCCTTACATTGACACATCATTCTAGGACTGAATCTACTTTACCCCCAATTGATGACAAATTCTCATATGCTGTCCCATTACAGTAACGTACATTGTTTTGAACATCACCTGAGTCTGTAAACTGGATACAAATTACTTTAGGATATCAGGACCCCTGTTGCAAAGTTTATATTTCATTGTATTAAACAAGCTTTTTTTCCAGATTTTTTTTTAAATTCAGTTCTGAAGTTTCTTTTCAGTATGACTACATTTTAGTGCATTGCGGTAATTTTCATGATTTAAACTGGTTGCTTTGTTCATTCAGAACCGACGACCACTTTAAACATAATTTATAAAAACCATCATATACATTGAATGAAGCAGACAATTGAGGTGTAGCTGTAGAATGAAAAGTTGGGTATTTATATCGGATTTGTGAATAAGATGAGGGAATGGTGCCTGCTCCCCTAAGTATCTGCAATGCTTGTAATCATTTGCTCTTTATTCCTGGGTAACAGGGTACTATGCTCTGTTGCTTCTAACAAAATTATTTTCTTGGTTATGAATGAAGATCTTATTAACACTCACCAAACGATTACAAGATGTCAAAGCAAAACAACACACCAGACTTCCACATATCCCATGATAATTGTATTTACCAATACAAATTCTACATTCAGACAAATCAAGACTGCAAATCTGTCACAAAAACTGTTTATTTATAGAGTAAAAGACATCAAAAATATACAAGAATATAAAAATATACTGTAAAAAAGGCGGCAAAAAGCAGACACTTAATTTCCTATGGTAGTAAAACAAACATGACATTAACAGATACTAAAGAAATATGCAATACTCAAGTAACCCTGTAAGGCTTTTATGGTGATTTTCGTTTTTAGTTATTTTAGTGCAACTGCATGGGGATGAAGGGAGAGCTTAGGAGACACATGGCTATCTCATGATAAGGTGCGAATCATACAAAATTCTGTTACAGCACACACTTGTGCCATTAGATCAGTGGGTCTTTAAAAGGAACAGTCTATTTCCCAAACAACCTGATTCTCTCATTTAGGGGACCTACATGAAAGGAAGAAGCTCTGTGGTTGCTATGAGTAACACAAATAGTTATCCTTTCAGATACTAATTGCAATTTAGGCTTAATTTGTAAGAAATTAACATGCCATACAATGCTCTACCGTTAGGGTGGTGGCACAGATTCAATGCTTAATTCAGAGCTCAATTTATATCAGAGCTTTGTTCACCCCAGAGTCCAGTAGTAAAGAATTATGTAAACAACTATGGGCTCTGATTTTTTATTTCCATATGCATTCTCAAAAGCTAAAAATAAACAGCGTGTAAGGTCTGGAAGTGGACAAAAGGCAGCAACTGTGAATAAATAAGGCCTTAAACCTAAAACGTTCCTGAAGAGTCTCAATCAAATCAAAGAATTAAATTGGAGAGTGAATATTATTTCTTTCAGTCCACACAATTGTAAATATTTAGGAGTATGTTAGAATTTTTGCAGAAGACCACGTATTACTGCAGTATGAAATATACATCTTGCACAGCAAATGTGAGGATTTAAAGCTGAACTCCAGGAATTACATGCTTTTTGTATATTCAGATTGGGCAAGTTTGGTTCAGTATAAGTAAGCATATCTGATATGTGTTCTTGGATTGGACAAGGTGGAGATTGTAATTTACTGTCCCTCCTTTCCACCTCATTCAATCACAGAGCACCTAGAATTCATTTAAAAAAGTGGTGATCTATAAATAGAAAATGAATATGAAAAGAGGTGATCTATGAATTGGTGGAGGTGCTGAGCAAGTAACCCCTGCGGTCAAGTGTGCAGAGGGGAAGCAGGTTACACAGAACCCAGAAGATCACTTTTGTCTCCGTATATAGCAGTTACTACTACAGCAATTTTCACCATCCCCAGTGGCCCTCCAGATATCGGATATGCATACTTACAGTAAGCCAAGCTGGTCCAATGTAAGTATTCAAAAAAATATTCTCTGGAGTTCAACTTAAAAAAAAAAAAAAAGTAAAATAGGTTTGTGTGCCACCACACCTAGGCAGCAGTTTAATGTACAATACAGGTACATAGAAATGGTAGAGTCTGAGAAAGGTATTACATAGGACAAAAAACATAAAAAGTAGTTGCATGTGAAGCACTGGCTAGATAGCCAGATTAGCTGAAGTCTCTGTCAGGGAGAATCAGAGGTGCAATTAATGTCCACAAATAAACGAGGAGTCCAACCCAGCTGGAGGAGATCTTCACCCACACTGCAGACATGGGGCTGGTCAGGGAATAATCAGAGGATCCTGGTCTGTTGAGAAATTAAAATAATTGAAATAAACCATCAATACTGTAAAGGCTAGTCTGTGTGTCAAATATGGACTGTAGAAAAACCACACAATATATTTTTAGCACTTGATGTCGGCTGTCCATCTGTTTGTTTTGATCTGTGTTAGGTCCTTGTAGGTTTAACAAATGTCAGATAACTTTTGTGTCAACACGGATATTAATCTAACATTTTCATTTAGGCAGGCTCTTTAAAGTCTAATAATTGCCTTCAACAATGCCAGAAGCATGGATTTTATGGTTTAACTGAAAGCTAACCAATGTTAAATGGCAACTCTATGCCTAAGAAGACAGGTGTAAGCAAAATCTCCTTAATATGGCTTTAATTTGAACACCTCTGTGTATATGTTATGTTCACATCCTAACACACTTATATAAACCTACAACTGACATGTATGTTCAGTGCAGGTGGAGAACTGTATTTACGGTTATATACAGTATAGAGTACAGGTATTAAATATATATTAAGCGTCCACAAAGATTTCACTGACGGTGGTGGTGGAGTGGCAAGGGAGAAAGCACTGCAGTCATCATTGCAGCAAGGCAAACTGAGAAGTACTTTCACCATACTTTCTTTTAGTTGAACTGGAGAGATGTGTCTTTTTTCAACTAGACAACTATAACATTCAAGCATGGAGTGCTTATTACAGTGGCTAACACTGATCCCTGTGCTATAGTTTCAATAAAAAAATAAGTAATATGGCATTCCGAGTGCTTATTCATGTCCAGAGCAGAGCTATGTAATGTGGACGTTAATGCAAACGTACCATGACAGTTGCCACCTTTCAGCCTCCAAATACCAAAGGCTTAAAAAGTCACGGAGTATTTGTTTAGCAAAATGCTTGTGTCATGTTTTTAACTAAATGTTCAAGTCAGCTTTAATGGAAGCAGCACTTCCCCTGTATGGTTCCTAACATACAGCATTTTGCATAAGCCAGGAAAAAGGCACTTACAGATACCAGTTTGTGAGTGTCATCATGATGTACAGTGAGGCTAGGAAGAGACAAAAATGGAAAAAGCTGTAGCTATAGCAAACACCATCCTCTTCATTATCATATGCTCTCTGCACCCCATCTTCAGTGCTATGAACTCCCCCATCTCCAGAACTCTCTTCTGTTAGCATTAGCTTGTTCACTTGCTGGTTGCTGGAGTTACGGATGCTGTATACACAAGAGGCACAACATAATTAGAGCAATGTAATAACACCACTGTATAATAAAGTGTTACTAAAGCAAATTAAACAAAAAACATATGTTATACCCACCTGCTCTGTGAACTGGTATTGCACAAAGCAGCCCCGATCATCCTCCAATCAGGTCCCCTGGTGGCGATCCTGGCCCCTCCTCTTTTTTGTGTGTCCCCATAGCAAGAAGCTTGCTATGGAGTCACACAGAGCCTGTGCGCTCCTGAGCGGTGTGTCTATGGAACCGCTCTCCATAGACTTACCCAGCAAGACTTAGCCTCGCCCCCCACTTCCTCCTCACTGCATCTGATTGACAGCAGCAGGAGACAATAGTCAAGCGCTGTGTAAACAGGGAGGAGAGCAGACGCAGACGTGCACAGCGCTGGATCTCTTCTCCCGGCACTTCCCCTTCACACAGAGAAATATAAAATGTTTTTTACCTTAATACAAGGAATGTATTAAGGTTAAAAAAAAAAACATTTTTACCTTTAGTATCACTTTAAGAAATTTTTTGACAGTGACAAATAATATTCATTACACAGTAAGAGCAGCAATCTGGTAACGGTGATAAAGTTGCAAGAGAGTTATACCAAGCTTAAATCCAGGATACTAGCAAGCCCCCTCCTTCCCAAGCACCTCTATTCTGTCACTGATATGAAGATAAAAAAAACAAAAACACACACAGTCTATCCAAATGACTATTTTATTATCTCTTCTTATGTATACTTCCTAGGGTTCTTCTTCAGGTATCCACATCACTCCCTGCTAGTGGAGGCAACACTTCCAGTAGCTGGGTTTTCTCTCAGGCTCTAGAGGTAAAAGGATTTGAATACCAGGGTGGGCTCTGGGAGGAAGAGGAGATTTGGATTGATGGGTATGATTATTTTTTTTCTGTTTGGTAAGGATTTAGACAAAAGGGTAAGTACAAAGTCACTGATCGCTGGTGGTTCTATATGCATGATGGTATGCACGGATGTGAGCACGAGTGGAAAGTGTATTATAGCTTGGAAATACTGCACTATATGAGCTTTCTTTTTTGGGGATACACAGGAGATATTGTGAAAAGGTTTAAGGACGACACAGAGACATTGGAGTGAAACAAAGACCCATTGAATGGTGTATGGGTTTGGAAATCTGGTAAGAATCCTTGAGATTGAATCCACTAGATATACTTACCTGTTGATTGATTGAAGAAACAGCTGCATAAATTTAAGTGCTGTACCTTTTTAATTTACATGCTGAAATTTGCCAGGGGGCGTTATTTTGCAGTCTAGCAGCTGATTGGGGACATTTGAGCACTGGTTAAAGACGTTTAATATGAAGTTCCATTAATGTTGAAAAACTGCTGACCCAGCTTTTAGCTCACCATAAACAGTACAATCTGATCTTCTTGTATAATTTCCTTTACATCTACCAACAAGTATGCAGCACAAGGGTCTGCCTGATTGGACAAATTGATTGAATAATTTTCGTAAATCTAAAGTTGATTGTAGAGATTGTATGGCCAAATTTGTAAAGTATCATGGTGAGCCTTAGACCAATGGAACAAAAAAAAATGTTGTATAAAATTACTTTGGAATATAACTACCCATTTAAAATAGCCCAAGGACTCAATTACACTAACATTTTTTTCTGTTGTAAGAACAGATTTTCTTTCCCATAAAAGTGAACAAATGATATAAAGTGGCCCCATAACTAACACAGCAGGAAAGGGTTCTGTTACATAGCAATAAGAGGGGGATTATGTCTAACCACTGATTGGGATCCAGTGTAGTCAGAACCAAAAAACAGATTCTTTCCATAATGGCCAACCAAAGCAAAAGCAGATACCAACTCACCTGATGAAGAGAGTGCACAAAATAAAGATCACAAGTCCTACAATGCTGGGAGCATCCCACCACTGAGCCACCGTAGAGGTGGAAGTACTGGATCCATTATTCACGATGGCAAGCAATGTAGGATTACAAGTTTTATCTGGAATAGAAACAGGTGACAGAATTTTATGAAGAAGCCTGTGATCCAATACCCAATCCATTACAGTTTCTCTGGGATTTTTTGACTGGATGCTCACCTGGAAAATTTGCCATAGCAGACCATGTGACAAAAATTGTGTACAATGTAATAACAGATGATTGTAGTAATCCTGAATGGGGCTGAGCATCCTGCAAAAAAAAAAAAAAAAAAAAAAAAAAAAAAAATCGAAATTAAGTCCTAAGCACTTTCAAAGTACTGGATATTTCGAGTCTTAAAGCTAGTTGCCTGGCCTCAAGAAAGTAAACGTTAGCAGTTATTCATCTTCAAAATTATTCCAGGCATAAGGTCAGCCAGGTGATTAGCACATTCAGAGAAAAGCTCAGCAATGGAATGCCATATTTAAAATATTAAAGGCTATTTTCTTCCTAAAATAAAAAAAGATGTTATACTTGACCCCTCTGCAATATTGTTGCACAGAGCAGGTGCTTACCTCCTCATTGGCAGTGCCCCACTAGCACTGCCCACTCCTTCTGAGTGCCCCCTCAGCAAGCCGTGTGCTAAGGGGGCATCCATGTTCCTGAGACAGGCTGTGTCCCCCCACGTCCCTGCTCCCCCTTCACAGGAGTTTGATTGACAGCAGCAGTAGCCTATGGCACTGGCTGCTGACTGTACAATTGTGACCAGGAAGAGAGGAAAGCATTGCTGGATAAGTAAGGTGCCATATATGTGTTTAGGATTGGGGGGGGGGGGGCCGTTAGTAGGGTGGTTCTAACCTTACTGCAGGGAATGCATTAAAAGATAATAAGATGTTTAGAGTTTAGAACTGCTTTAAAGGTTAACAGAAAAAAGAGGAAGGATATACGTATAGAAGCAATATACAACATAGATTTTTAGTACAGGGACTGAGAATCAATAGGTAAGAGACTTTTTTTATTTACTTCTTATTGATGCAGAGTACTCTGCAAAGCTATGCTATTTAGTCACTACAGGTGATGTGGTCAATGCTATTCTGTCAATCACAGCATCTGTAGGTGGAGCAGAGCGTACCCTACTACTGACAGGCAGGAAAAGTAGAGGTTATCAGCGGTGAACAGGCAGCTATTTTTCATCTAGCCTATTTAAGAACACATCCCTGTATACCTAATGGATACAGCAGCTGCAGAGGGTTACAAAAGTGCAGTGATTTCACTGAAGTAGTCATAGAATAGTGTCATCAGTATCATTAGGTAATCAATCCACCTATAAAAGGCTAGTTACTCGTTTTAAACATATTGACTTATATACCTAAAAAGAGCAAGCAGAACATTTTGTCCCTATAGTTTTTATTTAAAAGAGAAGTATGGACTCCCCCCCCCCCCCATTTATGCTTACCTAGGTGGATGCAGCATCAGTCCGATGCTGCATCTGTCCCCCGCTGGCTCTAAGCATGAGAACTCAGCGATGACCTGACTGCCGAGTTCTCACAGCCGAACTCAGTAGAAAGTGGGGACGATCAGTCTCCGCTGTCCGCTCTGCCCCACTACTGCCGCGCTGGGCTGTGCAGGGGGAGGGAGTGGCTGGCTCAGGCTCTAAGCGGCTCGACTCTGGAATGGATCCCATCTTTAAAGTCCCGTCTTTGAAGTCGGGAGCTTTCCCCCCAGCCTGGACTGGCTGAGTGACGTCAGCGGGCTTCAGCTCGCTGGCTGCTAGAAAAACACATCACAGGAGTGCAAAAGGGACTGCACTCGTGATCCTCAAGAGAAATACAGCCCAAAGAGCTTAGGCTGTACTTCTTCAAAATCTACTATTCCAGTATTTATTAAATCCCAATTTCAGAACCAAATCCCTACAACAAGCTAAGTTGGTTTCCTTGGATTTTCAGAAAGCTATAGTAAAGTCCTTAATGCGGCAAAAGATGCCGTGCAACTGACAAACCTTCACCATAAAATAATAATAAAGTCCAAAACAAAGTCCAAAGTAATAAGATCTTCCACCAAATTATCCATGTGTTCCAATATCTTCTATAACTGATCACCAGTGCTACTCACCTTGCATCACATGCATTCACCTCCCGTGAACAGAGTACTATAATTTCCTATTCTTCTTTCATGAATGGAAGAACGCTTCTTATGTGAGTGGAGGATACGTGGAACATATGAGCCATCTTGTTTGCAGCCCTTGAAGAGGGCACAAGTGCATGTGACCCTAGGAGTAGCCATCGGGGTCTTGTCAGGAGGTAATCATATTGTTCATGGGAAGTGTATGGATGAGTATCACTGGTGATCACTTATAGAAGCTATTGGTGGACTGAGATATTGGGACACATGGATAATTTGGTGGTACATGTGAATAATTTGGTGGAAGATCTTACTGTATTGGAAATTATTTTATAGTGAAGGATTGTGGGTTGCACTGGATCTTTTGTTGCATTATTTACTGAGAGGTGGAGTGAAACCACTTAACGGTGCATGCAACAACCTTATGTTTCATTATTGATTCACATGCAGTTTTAGACTTATGTTTATATGTTTGATGATTTTTTGTGATGTAAGGGGTAATCACGTAGGGGCTACGCTGATTGTAATTAGGTATAGTAAAATCCTGGCATATCTAGAACTAGAGGGTCACAACATGTTTATATAAATAATAGCTTGCATGCCCATCAGTATTAAGTTCATGCTTCAAGAGGACAGTCAGTTATCCAAAGTCTAGAGCCCAGGAGAAAATGTGAAAGATGAGATTTTCAACATATTTGATTTGAAAATGTGAAAGATGAGGAGATTTTCAACATATTTATCCCAGTAGGGGCAAGTAATCTGCTACCCTATAACAAAAGGGCTCCTTACATGTTTACAATAATGCAACTAAAACATATTTAATATAAATATCTAAAATAAAAATACATAATATAGAATATAAAAAAAAATATAGGGAAAACTTCCTTACCCCATAATTACTTTATATAAAAACGCAATCTATAATAAAATGGAGTCTTATGGATTCACTTAAACTATGCCAAGAGATCTTTGCATTACATTAAAAAGAAAAAAAATATGTTCACACAGCAGCTTCAGGCACATAATGAATATCTCATGGAGTAACAGGTCATGGTAGCATGGAGTTCTGGTTGATTTCCATACTGGTTAATTATTTCACTTGTTCATAATGAACAATGAAATCCAGAACATAACCACCACCCATTCTGGGTACAGCCAATAGAAAATCAGGCTACGGTTCTAAAAAGGGACCAATCTTCTTTGAGTGCAACCTCTTGAAGCATCTTATGGTGTGTACATGGATTGCTATTAATGGGGACCCACCCATTACCAGCCCTTTTTAACTATATAGAAATGAGATGGTAGGCTAGATGTCTTTTGAGTAAATGTTGGGGGGGGGCATAGTTTTCTTTAAAACTCCCCAAATAAAAGGAATGGGAGGATAAGAATAGAAAGGATGAACAGCAGGGCGGATCACCAGAAGTTCAGAGACTACATCTGGCATTCATGAAGAAATTCTGTTCCTGCTGACTTTAACAAATAATTTAGGAGACAGTATAAATTCCATATAATTACACTTTACTGCACATATTTTCTTTTGTTCAAAATAGTTTCTTACCTGTACTTTGGGAAGAATAGACACTACAGAAACAATAACACAGAATATAAGGTTGAGACTGATGAACACTTTGTTGAGAACACAATCCCCAGATCCGGTGTAGTAAACATATAGACACGCGATGGCAGCAATTGCACCAGCATAGATCAGCAACGTGCATATGAGAAGAGCTATTGACATGAAAAATGGACTGTTAAAGCAGTGCCAAACAACATCATTTACTAAGAAATTGTAATTTGTTCTTTAGTCTTTATCACACTAATACCATTGCACTTTATAATGATTAAATTGCTCCGATTACAACTTTCTGTCCACTTACCTGCATACCAACACTTTGTATTGCCATCCTCAGCCTGCTGAAGCCAAGACTGACTCCAGGAGTGGGCAAGATCGATAATGAGTATGAGCTGGACCAAGAAGAACAGGAAACCACCAACCATACCAAAAATAATACCACACTGTGTGGAAGACAAGAAACATAATTAATAATACAATCTGACACAAGAAGAAACTATCAAGAATGAGAACAAACAGACAGAGCTTGGGTGAGGCAGATATGCAATTAGTGTGTCTCAATGGGGTTGCCATTTGTCATTTGACAACACAGACATTCCATACAGAAGAATCATACAGTGTAGCCTTGTTTCCCTTTTTCCTAAATCTACAGAGACCCAATAATTAAAAAAAGCACCACTTATAAACTTTGTGCTTAAATCCTGTTCGGGTTTGAGGATACTTAAAGCTGAATTTTTGGCAGATACAAACATGCAAAAGTCTTACTATTGGTTTCCTGCAATGCCAATAATGCAGCACTAGGATAGAAAAGAAAACAGTGGGGTTCTATAGCTTTATACGGAGCCAACTGTATGAAAATGCTTACAGGAAACAAAATATTATGGAACTTCTAAAATGCTAATTATACTGATTGATCATTAGATATAATAATCATTCATACAATAATTGTTTCTATCAGAAATAAACTGTACTAAGAGCTTGCATGAATAAAACAATGTGTTTCATTAACAAGGGACATATTCTTTCAGCAAATTCAAATGTTCTGAACCCACTATTTTCTCTGTTGTATCAAACAATTGCATTCTAGCAAAGGACTGTGTGAAACAATTGGCATATACAGACAAGGTCCATAAATATTGGGACATCGACACAATTCTAACATTTTTGGCTCTGTACACCACCACAATGGATTTGAAATGAAACAAATAAGATGTGCTTTAACTGCAGACAGTCAGCTTTAATTTGAGGGTATTTACATCCAAATCAGGTGAACTGTGTAGGAATTACAACAGTTTGCATATGTGCCTCCCACTTGTTAAGGGACCAAAAGTAATGGGACAATTGTCTTCTCAGCTGTTCCATGGCCAGGTGTGTGTTATTCCCTCATTATCACAATTACAATGAGCAGATAAAAGGTCCAGAGTTCATTTCAAGTGTGCTATTTGCTTTGGAATCTGTTGCTGTCAACTCTCAAGATGAGATCCAAAGAGCTGTCACTATCAGTGAAGCAAGCCATCATTAGGCTGAAAAAACAAAACAAACCCATCAGAGAGATAGCAAACACATTAGGCGTGGCCAAAACAACTGTTTGGAACATTCCTAAAAAGAAGGAACACAGCGGTGAGTCAGCAACATCAAAAGACCCGGAAGACCATGGAAAACAACTGTGGTGGATGACCGAAGAATTCTTTCTCTGGTGAAGAAAACACCCTTCACAACAGTTGGCCAGATCAAGAACACTCTCCAGGAGGTAGGTGTATGTGTGTCAAAGTCAACAATCAAGAGAAGACTTCACCAGAGTGAATACAGAGGGTTCACCACAAGATGTAAACCATGGTGAGCCTCAAAAACAGGAAGGCCAGATTAGAGTTTCCCAAACGACATCTAAAAAAGCCTTCACAGTTCTGGAACAACATCCTATGGACAGATGAGACCAAGATCAACTTGTACCAGAGTGATGGGAAGAGAAGAGTATGGAGAAGGAAAGGAACTGCTCATGATCCTAAGCATACCACCTCATCAGTGAAGCATGGTGGTGGTAGTGTCATGGCGTGGCATGTATGGCTGCCAATGGAACTGGTTCTCTTGTATTTATTGATGATGTGACTGCTGACAAAAGCAGCAGGATGAATTCTGAAGTGTTTCGGGAATATTATCTGCTCATATTCAGCCAAATGCGTCAGAACTCATTGGACGCTGCTTCACAGTGCAGATGGACAATGACCCAAAGTATACTGCAAAAGCAACCAAAGAGTTTAAGGGAAAGAAGTGGAATGTTATGCAATGGCCAAGTCAATCACCAGACCTGAATCCGATTGAGCATGCATTTCACTTGCTGAAGACAAAACTGAAGGGAAAATGGCCCAAGAACAAGCAGGAACTGAAGACAGTTGCAGTAGAGGCCTGGCAGAGCATCACCAGGGATGAAACCCAGCGTCTGGTGATGTCTATGCGTTCCAGACTTCAGGCTGTAATTGACTGCAAAGGATTTGTAACCAAGTATTAAAAAGTGAAAGTTTGATTTATGAATATTCTGTCCCATTACTTTTGGTCCCTTAACAAGTGGGAGGCACATATGCAAACTGTTGTAATTCCTACACCGTTCACCTGATTTGGATGTAAATACCCTCAAATTAAAGCTGACAGTCTGCAGTTAAAGCACATCTTGTTCGTTTCATTTCAAATCCACTATGGTGGTGTATAGAGCCAAAAATGTTAGAATTGTGTCGATGTCCCAATATTTATGGACCTGACTGCATAGCCATCATAAGTGATGCAAAAAAATAAAATAAAATGCAAATTACATTAAATTCCAACCAAACTTACCTGTGGTAAACACTCCATGTGGGATAAAGAAAGCTCCAACAGTGATGCCCACTAAAATCAGAAATTTGAAAAACCAAAACCTAAACAAAACCAACAAGTCAGAAATTCACATTATTACCATCCAGGAAACAAGGAAGCCAAACGATACACAAATATGTGCAATTCATAAGTATATGGAAATGGATGAAATTCCTACGTTTTGTATGGATATACTACAAATATACTCCAAACAGCTAAATACAGTTGCATTACATATATGGGAACTAATATGGAATTTGTAAATATACGCAGCCAGTTTTGTGAGCCTGGCATCCCCTTCCGGACTTCAAATCTTGACCTCCACTGAAGTAGCAGAACAGCTTATTAAATAACAACCCCAGCCTGCTGTCAATAAAGGAAAAAGCAGCACAGAGGCAAACTTCTGCTCACGCTGCTTTCTCCTACTATTCACATATTCACTGTCAGCGCATGTGCTCTACAACAGAGAATGATTGGCCTTTAATCTTCCACTCTGATTGCTGCTATGTAAGGGATCACAAGATGCTCAAAATATATAACTATATTGCGATCCTTACACTATTTAAAGCCCATTGGTATCCAGACTTTGGACATGAAAGTTTGTAGGTATTTATAACAAGCTTTAAAACAAGCTAATCTCTGAGCATTTAGCTGTTTGCACTGCATAGTGCTTCATTCTTAACTAGTTTAGGACACTGGAGTGCTACACATGCCAAAAAAAAAAAAAAAAAACCTCATCATAGTACACAAGACATGTTTAGCATGTCCAGTCCTTCTGCCTTTGTATCGAGACACCCCCTTCTATCCCTGACAATTCTCAGCTTCGATTAATGAAAGCCAGGAGTTGCTGCATCACAGAGCATTGTAAAAACAAAGCTGTCTGCCTTTTTCAACACTGTTCAGACATGAAATAGAGAGATACAAAGTAACATTGTTACTTTTATATCTACTGTTTGTCTCTTTACTCTTGTCGGTTTGTCAGGTAAGGCAAACCGACAAGAAAAAAAAAAAGATTTTGTTTTTTGTGTTTTTTTTTAAATTTGCCTTTGTTTTAACCCCTTTTAAAATATCAGTTTACCCTAATCAGCCCTAATTCACTCCTCCTTCCTCCATTATTTTCTTGCCTTTTGTGTTCCTCCATTATTTTCTTGCCTTTTTCCTGAGCCCCATCCCGATCCAGCAATGTCCACGAGAGCCTCGGTTTTACGGGGACTCTCACTTCTGATTGGCTGAGGCAGCAGCGGGAGGCAGTGAGGCAATCAGGAGAGAGGGGTGGGGCCGAGTCATAGCTCTGTATGTGAATGGACACGCAGATCTGTGGCTCAGGAGCATGTCAGCTTGGGTGCCCCCATAGCAAGCTGCTTGCTGTGGGGGCACCCGACAGGACGGAGGGGCCAGGAGCACCAGAGGGGAACCCAAGAAGAGGAGGAACTGGGCTGCTTTGTGCAAAACCACTGCACAGAGCAGGTAAGTATGGCATATTTGTTATTTAAAAAAATTTTTAGTATCACTTTAAACAGATCCTCAGTCTTTTTTTTAACTGCTTAGAAACATGCATTTACATTAGATGACTGGCAAGATTCTGCTGTTGTAATATAAACTAAAAGGGCAAAGAAGTTGTGATTTCAGTGTTAAGAACTGTGTAGGTTAAATTTTTCCACAATGCCCAAAGCTACAGTGGTGAATGTTGGCTTGTTTTATTCCTTATTACTGCTTGTTCAGTATATGTCAATTTAGCGTGTAAAATATGGAAACTGGTTCACTTTAAAAATAAAAAAAAAATACACTGCTCAAAAAAAATTAAAGGAACACTTTGAAAACCCATCAAATCTCAATGGGGAAAAATATCATGCCCAATAACTGTACTAATATGGACTGGGTAATGTGTTAGGAATGTAAGGATGCCCTATCGTTTGATAGAAATAAAAATCATCAACCTGCAAAAGAACTGAATTCAAAGACACTCCAAAAATCAAAGTAAAAAAAATTATACAGCAGGCTAGTCCATTTTGCTGTAATTTCATTGCAGCAACCCAAAATGGCACTCAGTAGCCCCCATGTGCTTGTATGCATGTCTGACAACATCGAGGGCATGCTCCTAATAAGATGACGGATGGTGTCCTGGGGTATTTCCTTCCAGATCTGGACCAGGGCATCACTGAGGTGAAACCTGGCGGAGTCAGATGGGGTGAAACATGATATCCCAGAGGTGATCTATTGGATTTAGTCAGGCAAGCATGGGGGCCATTCAATGGTATCAATTCCTTCATCCTCCAGGAACTGCCTGCATACTCTGGGCACATGAGGCCAGGTATTGTTGTGCACCAGGAGGAACCCAGGACCCACTGCACCAGTATAGGGTCTGACAATGTGTCCAAGGATTTCATCCTGATACATAATGGCAGTCAGGGTGCTATTGTCCAGCCTGTAGAGGTCTGTGTGTCCCTCCATGGATATGCCTCCCCAGACCATCAATGACCCACCACCATAACGGTCATGCTGAACAATGTTACAGGCAGCATAACATTCTCCACAGTTTCTCCAGACCCTTTCACATCTATCACATGTGCTCAGGGTGGATCTGTTCTCATCTGTGAAAAGTACAGGGCGCCAATGATGGACCTGCCAATTCTGGTGTTCAATGGCAAATGCCAATCAAGCTCTATGGTTCTATGGTGCTGGGCATTGAGCGCGTCGGGCTCTCAGGCCACCCTCATGAAGTCTCTGATTACAGTAATACCTCGGTTTATGAATTTCATTAGTTCTGCAGGACTTTTTGTATAGCAAAAAATTTGTAAACTGAAACACCATTTCCCATAGGAATGCATTGAAAACCAATTAACCCGTTCCGGAGGTCAGAAAAAAGTAAACGCTACTAAAATACCGTATGAGTTATTTTATTAAGTCATGCGGTATTTTAGTAGTGACAACATGTGTTAATGTTTCAGCTGTCAGCAGGGTTCCCCACTGACAGCTGTATGTAAAAGATCTGCCGCCAATTAAAAAAAATTATGAAAAAAACGGCGTGGGGTCCCCCCTCCCATACATGCCAAGCCCTTCGGTTTGAGGGGGAACTCCCACGCCAAAATTTTAGTAAAAAATGGCAAGGGGGTCCCCCCCCCAAAAAACCATACCGTACCCTTAGACGAGCGAGCGCCCCCCCCCTCCCCTAATGAACCATACCAGGCCACATGCCCTCAACATGGGGGGTGCTTTGGGGCAGGGGGGGCTCCCCCCCAAAGCACCTTGTCCCCATGTTGATGGGGACAAGGGCCTCTTCCCCAGAACCCTGGCTGGTGGTTGTTGGGGTCTGCGGGCAGGGGGCTTATCAAAATCTGGAAGCCCCCTTTAACAAGGGGGCCCCCAGATCCCGGCCCCCCATGTGAATGTGTATGGGGTACATGGTACCTGAACCCATTCACAAAAAAACAAAAAGTGTAATGTGAAAAAAAGACCGGACACGGTCTTCGACAAGTCCTTTAATAAAAGAATGTCCCCCGCAGTAGATCCAATGTCTGCCGCCGACCCAAAAAAAGGAAAAAAAAAAAAAAAAAAGGTCCCGTTCCCGATGATGGCTTCCGGCTGTCTGCCTGCTCCAGTGGTTTGATATTTCTTAAATAAGTAATGGGCGGGGCCTGTTGAGGGCATGTGGCCTGGTATAGTTCAGGAGGGGGGGCGCTCGCTTTTCCCCCCTCCTTTCCTGAGCTGCCGGGCTGCATGCTCGCATAAGGGTCTGGTATGGATTTTTTTTTTTAATATTGGCGTGGGAGTTCCCCCTTTAAAATCCATATAAACTAAGGGCTTGGTATGGATGGGAGGGCAGACCCCACACCATTTTGTTATTTATCATGGTGCTGGTTTTTAAATGTAATTAAGGTTTTTTTTTTTTTCTTCACTATAACTCAGAAATTCAGCAGTCACTTTCCCCCAACTAAAAGAGAGAAAGTTTTCTTTTAGTTTATTTCCCAGAGTTACGAGAAACAATGTTTCCTTTCAGTGTCTTAAAAGAAACAGATTTTCCTGTAACTCCAGGGAAAGTGATAGCTAATCTTGTAAGCTATAGTGAAGAAAAAAAAAAGCTGGCAATTGCATTTAAAAAATAGCACAGACATAAACTTCGTATTGCAAAAAGAATTAGTAAAAAATTCGTAAACTGAGGCATTATTTTCAATGGATATTCGTAAACCGTGGTACCACTGTATTTGGTCAGAGACATTCACATCAGTGGCCTGCTGAAGGTCATTTTGTAGGGCTCTGGCAGTGCTCATCCTGTTCCCTTTTCCTCCTTACACAAAAGAGCAGATACCAGTCCTGCTGATTGATTAAGGACCTTCTATGGCCCTGTCCAACTCTCCTAGAGTAACTGCCTGTCTCCTGGAATCTCCTTCATGCACTTGAGACTGTGCTGGGAGACACAGCAAGCGTACTGGCAATGGCACGTATTGATGTACCATCCTGGAGGAGTTGGACTGCCTGTGCAACCTTTGTAGGGTCCAGGTATCGCCTCATGCTACCAGTAGTGACACTGACCCTAGCCAAATGTCAGAAAGAATGGTGTAGGGAAAAAAATGTCAGTGGCCTCCACTTGTAAAACCATTCCTGTTTTGGGGGTCATCTAATTTTTGCCCATCTAGTGCACCTGTTATTAAATTTCATTAACACCAAAGCAGCTGAAACTGATTAACGACCCCCTCTGCTACTTAACTGACCAGATCAATATCCCAGGAGTTTAATTGACTTGATGCTATACTCTAATGAAAAAGTGTTCCTTTAATTTTTTTGGAGCATAGTACATTTGCCTTTTTGTTTGTCAAATATACATGTTTGCATTAATTGGTGTTTTTATAGTTACATGGGTTCAGCTTTTAATCTTTGGAGATTTTAAAAATACAAATTGGCAATAAAGATGTGAAACTATAAATAAGGACAGAAAACCTAATTTCACCAGTACTTTAAGGAGTTCTCACCCGTTCTGTATGTATGATCTTGGGTCCCGGCTACTCCGCACACATATCATTATTATGACAAATAAAAAGAAAAAGGCAGCCATAGCAAAACACATGCGGTAGACAGCTTGGTGACCAACTATGATATCACAGTTTACATTGCCTGGAATGGCAGTTGATGAGGAGCAGAACCAAGGCAACTAAGGGTAAAAGAAAAAAAACAATGACAAAGAAAATCAGCCGTCTTATATTACATTACATTTAAATCTTCTATGTCCTCAAACACCTTGTTCCTTGATGTTCAATCTATATCTCTCCATCATAAGCTAGTCATTTGCATTAGGCTCATGTCCAATTCAAGAGCAAATGACACCACAGTGTGGTATTCAAGTACAACCTACATCTTGGCATATTTAGCAAACGGTAACTGTGCATCAATCTAAATTCTGTAACTGAAAACTGACCACCCTCGTGCCAAAGTTAAATCATGGCAGATATATTGGCAGCGTTTTTGGCTAGGTTTAGTTACATTTCCAAGTACAGTTGTAAATAAAAGTTAAAAAAAAAAAAAAAAAACCACACCTTTTTTGAATATATAGCCACATACCTTCTTCAGTCCATCTTCCACCCCAGGTATGATCATAATGCAAGCTACTAAAGTTCCAAGAAGCAGAAAGATGGAGAATGTCAGCCGTGTTATAGTCGAGTTCTTCGTAGATGGACAACATCCACAAAGGAGGCATGGTGCTGTGCCACACAGACAGGAAGCCTGCCAAATTGTAGAAAGGGGAAGTCAGAGTGATAAGTTCAGCACATAGAAAAACTTGAGAGCAATACCAGACATGAAATGGAAGTTTTTGTTTACATTCTAGATGCATGGATTTATATTGCAATTATTTAAAAAACCCTTAACTATTCACAAATGATCTCAATTTATTACATTATGCACATTATGTGATGATGGAGGTGTTTCATATTAAAGGTGTTGTATACCTATGCAAAAATTTATTTTGTGTTTTTTTTTTTATTCATTACAATTTAAATCACTTTGCAGAGACTGTTTTTTTATGTTTATTGTCTTAGAACTTTAATTCATATTAAATTAAAAAATAAAATGTTATCACTAATATCTCTGGATATATAGATAGATTAGAAAAAAAGGAAGGAGGAGGAGAGAATAAAAGAATGGCCTTTTTAGTAAAGTTTTTACTATTTTATTTAACAAAGGCTGGTCCTTGGATCCCATGTTTTGCCAAATAAATTGTTTATATCTGAGTATACACGATAGCTAGTCATTGAAAACTACCCAATTCTATTTAAATTAACTGTAAAGTCATAAAAGTTACTTTTAAATACCAGAGGTTTATACTTACCTGCTCCGTGCAATGGAATTGACAGAGGCGCCCCGATCCCACCCTACTTAGGTCCCTGGCCAGCGTTCCTAGATCCTTTTCTTCTTGGTGTGCCACTATGGGAATCCACTTCCTATGGTGACACACCTGCATGCTTGATCCCAAGCGAAGCTGCCTGTGTCCATTGACAAAGACAGCAAGGCTTGACTCTGCCCCCCTTCCCCTTCCATAACAAGATTTGACTTCCGGCAGCAGAGCCAATTGCTCCCACTGCTCTCAGCAAAGCCTGTGAGCGCGGGGAGAAGAGGAGAGAGCCGATGTTTTTGTGCACAATGCTGGATCGAGATCGGGTTCAGGCAAGTATTAAGAGGGAAGGGGTGATACTTTAACCCAAACATTTTTTTACCTCAATGCAAAAAATGCATACAGGTAAAATTTTAGGCTTAAGAACCACTTTAACAAATAGTATGACAAAAGCCTTTTTAAAGCGCATATGGGACTATTTAAGGCACGTACATACACTTAAATGCACACAAATTTATATTACACACACCAGTCTTTTCTTACTACAACAATAAAATTACACATAACATTAATGGCTGACAGTTCGTATTACAAGTTTTCCTTATTTCAGATCTTGTACAGAATATGCATACATGAAAGATAACTGTAGCTTTGTCTGTGGCTACTGAGGTCATGATTTTTTGCATGAACAAAAAAAAAAAAAAAAAAAAAGTTTGCCCCAGTCTTATACTGGGAATCTAAATATTCTAATGTTTGATAACAAGCACTTCTATTTATCAGAAGATATTTTAAGCAGGCCAAAGATTAGGAGATTTTTCATTTGGTCCTCCATCAGCACAGTGTTATTCTGGGAATCTCTCCCATGAAGCTATTGTGTTCTCCTGAGGTGGGGGCACAGGGAACTGTCCCAACTGGGGTTACACAATGCTTACTGTGAGCTGCTATAGCTGCTGGTAATAGCCGCATGCTAAAAAATCCAACCTGCTAGCTGTACCCAAGCTAACTGATGGATCAACATGGGTACAATCAGTCTGCCCATAGATTGATCGAATCTCGGCCAGTCCTTGCTGAACCAGTGGAATTTCGATCCAAGTATGGCCAGCTTTAAATGTATTCTCCCTGGAGAAGAGGCTCATAAGAGGAGATAAGATAGTGATATACAAATATCTCAATGGTAATTCTAGCATAGGGAGGAAACTATTCAGTCTCCAGTCGCTTAAGAGGACAAAGAAGTTGGAAGAGAAGCGGTTAAACCTTTAATGCAAACGTAGCGTAGGGCGTGAGTGGAGGCAGACATCATACGGAAGTATAATCCAGGATTTCTAGATTGTTTAAAATTTTTAAAGTGCAAGTACATTTCCTTTTTATTAAATATTTAAATTACTAACATACTACACCATAAGAGGTTTGTTCGTATCTTTCCCTCACATGGGCACGGCAAATATGGCAGCACGAATAAACAAGAACTTTTAAAGTTACCATATACCTCTTAAAACCAAAGCCTTGGGAAGTACATGTGGAGAGTGCCTAGTGGTTTGGAGACGTATGAAGATTTGGATACTGTTGGAATCTGGGAGGATTATCATATACAGGCTATGACATCAGTCTGGAGGTGAGAGTTCTGTGAGTACAGAGGTGGCACATATTGTGCGAAGTCTAGAGACACTGCAGTTATGATATTGGCTGTTGGATAATCAAAGAACAAGATTCCCATTGGTATTACCGTTTTTGATATTATACTTTGAACTGCATGGACTAAGCACCACAATGTTTGTATTTAGACTGTTTATTGGTTATTGATTCACCTCATTGGATACGTTTACTTTGTATGTGATTTTCATGATAGTTATTTAATCTGCAACACGTGTAAAACAAAACAGGCACACGTACATAGTTTCACTATTAGTAATTTTATTTTTTCACATATTTAACACAGTCTAGCAGCACAGCATCATGCACTTTATCATTTTTGTGTGAGGGGTTCTTTATGGTCAGAGCGGCAAGGATGCGGAACTACATTCCACAGTTGGTGGTGTCAGCAGGGAATGTAAAAAAAAAAAAAAAAAAAAAAAAAAAAAAAAAAAACAACTCTTAACCACTTGGTAACCGCGCTATAGCCGAACGATGGCTATAGCGCGATTACCCAGTTCTGGGAGGGCATCACATGATTTCTTTTTTTTCTTGTTCCTTTAAATTTTGTTCCTAATTCCTTTTCCCGTTTTTCCAAAACCAGTAGAGAAACACATCCAGATATACCAGTAAGTATCATATATATGCGAGAAGTAACATGGTTTCGCATTGTAGCTGTACTAAAAAATTGTTCAAATGGATACATGTCTTCCACCGTCCTTAGTGGCTGCGGGAATGCTGTAACAAAATGTCTTAATTGGCAATAACACCATATTTCTAACACAGAAAATATTTCCTTCTTATTTTTTAACTCTATATAAAGTACACCATTCCCCTTTATCAGTGATGTCTTTTAGACGTGCATTTCTATCTTTCATCCATTTACCTGTGATATTCTCTTTCCCCGAAGGGAAGAGTTCTGTTCCTCCCCATTGGCATTAATAGTGAATTATACTCCCACCCCCTTTGTTTATGAATTCTATCCCATATCTTAAAAACATTTTGTATTAAAGATGCTTGTATTTCCAGAAAGGTTCCTAAACTGTTGTGGAATGCAAATAGTCTATGACTCATTCAGTGTATTTTCTATCATCACCCAACTTTTATAAAGAATCCATCCAAGGATTCATACAAAAATTAAAATCTCCTGCTACAATCAAGTAACCCTTAAAGTCTAAACGTTTTCTTAAACAGACCTTCTATGTATATCACTGAGTTCTTATTAGGGCAGCAAATATTTGCTAATGTACATTGTATTCCTTGTAATTTCCCCTTCAAAAAAAAAAAAAACGACCTTCTGGATCAACTAATCTTTCTTCCATAGAAAATCTTAAATTTTTTTTCCAAACCCAATAGCTCCTTTTGCATGTTTAATTGGCAAATACACATGTGGGATAATGTTTAGAACAGGGCTTGAAAACTTTGCTTGCCCAATGCGAGGGGAAAATCCTTTCTGGCGAGCACAGTAATGCCCTGCACATTTATTGATGGAGCTGGTGGCTTGCAATGCGATCCCCAGGCCCCAAGGATCGATTTGCGTTCTACTTGTGCTCCAAGCCTCGTTTTGAAGCTGACTTCCGGTTTCCAACTTCTTCTTTGGCACCGCCATTACACTGGCAGCGCCGCTGAGGGGACAGGTGCAGGAGAGGTCCGCTCTCCTCAGCTGAGGGAGACACGAGGAGAGGCCCGCTCTCCACCGCCGTGGGGGACACGTGAAGGAGAGACACGCTAACGGTGGACATCCCTACACCCACCAGCTTAAGGTAAATTACATTATTTGTGCTGCGCACTGGGGGCAAATGATTTCAAAAAGAATAAAAAATTAAAAAAACCACACCAACAATGTTAAAAAAAAACCAACAACGCCATTTTAGTGCTGCTCTCTGGGGCCTAATATTTCAAAAACAAAAAAACAAAAAACAAAAAGCACACCTATGCACAATCAGCTACAAATGTCATTTAAAATAAAGAAATATATTTCCAATAAAATTGGTAGCGGACTATGAATAGGAACCCATGTGATGAAGAAGTACTAACTACTTATTGCCAAAAAAATAAAAATAAAAAATAACACATCCTCATATGGTAGTGGTGAAAATTATCAGTGCCCTCCCAGTTTTGACTGTGGTATCTTATCTGCACCCTGTTATTTTTCCTAGAGTCGCCATTGGTCCCTCACGATTGTAATGCAATCAGCCGTGCTCCGCCCTGCAGAGACAAGCTCCTGAAAGGCAGCCCAGCCAGCAGACACACCGAGCCACCAGAGGAGCCTTCAAGTAGACCAGCTTTCAATCAGGCCAGCCTTTAATCTGAACTGCCGTTGAGCTGAACAACTGCCGTTGAGCTGAACAATTGCCGTTGAGCTGAGCTGACTTTAATCTGAACTGCCGTTGAGCTGAGCTGAACAACTGCCGTTGAGCTGAGCTGACTTTAATGAACCATGAAAACTGCCGTGACTGACCTGATTAAAATGGACTGATCATGATCATGGAGGATCTTCTTCAGCCCGAGTCATCTGTGGCAGCCCAGACTTAATACAAAAAAGTGGTCTTAATTTCCAGTATTCAACCCATATCTCCTGCCTGTGAGTCTCTTATTTTTTTTTTTTGTCTCCTTGTTTACTCTGCAACATGAAACAGAACAAGTTAAGCTTTTTTTTAATTTTATTTTTTAAAGAAAAAGATCATCCTACTATTGTGGAGTCCCAGTCAAACCCTATAGAAAAAGAGAATGAATCAATAGCTAATGCAGTTGGTAGTTGTAG